ACTTCTTCCTTTCTTCTTCTCTTTTATTCATCTTCTTGTGATTTGCTAATCGTTAAAAATGACAACTACCAGTAACACACGTATAGTATAAAAGGAAAAAGCATACCCGCCAAACAAGAATCTGAGCATCAGCTGACAATTCTGCAGGATGCCAAGAAACTCGGCAGGTTGGGAAGTCTTTTGTATCTGCTGGATCATTCGTTTCAAGAGTGCCATACAAAATGCTTAATAACTCCATAATTCGTCCATATCTTGCTGGTGAGAAGTGTATACCAAGGTTGGGTACTTGAAATGAAACTCTGGTTGATAGGTAATTTGGATGCGGCACTTTGATCTTGTAATCAAAACATAAGATAAATGAGGAAGGAAGAAGCCATGGAATCCACTTGACAAGTTTAAACATTTTACACAAAAAACCAACAAGCTTATCCACTGGCTATACATCTACCTGGTCAACAATCACTGATGTTCCGCATCTGTCAATTAGTGGATAGAACTGACTAACATTCTTAGGAAGAGGAAGGCAACAGATTTGACTTCCAAAATTGCTTGGTTCAGATATACATCTCTATTATCTGCACTCTCAAATCCAGTCACGAAGAAAGCAGCAATGTCTCTACCCGATATATAAAAACGTGAATACAGACTTTGCCTTTGCTCATCAAAGTGATTCTGCAGAAGGTTACTAATTCTTAGTTAAAACCAAAGCAACACAAAATAGATAGTTAACACCAACATAAGATACTTACTTTAGAATGCAAAGTGAAATGACCAAAATCTAAAATAAAACTCCCATCTGATGGTATATTTTCATTTGTCTCAAGGGGGATCCTCAATTTGGGAGCATCAAAATCAATATCAACCGTAAATTTCAAGCTTGAATAATTGCATAATATATATTTAAAAAATGAATAATATAATTCAAAGCATACATTCTAAATCATTTAACCCATTGTGAATAATGAAGGCACAAATGAGAAGCTTACTTCCAGTGAAAGGCAAAATCAATTTTCAATAACAAGCATCAGAAGGCCACAAAACCAAATGATAATCACATTCATCTTTGGGTCCATACGTGGTTCAGTTTTCTAAGGTTAGAGCTTCACATACATCAGCATGATCTCCAATATACCAAATGCATCTATCATTTCTACAACCTCATCTTCAACTGTAAATGCATTCGTAATACATCAGCTTTAGAGAAATACATCCCTAATTATTAGAATAAAGACTCAGTTCTAAGTGTTCCCATACCAGAATGTCATGGGAGAAACCTACGAAGCCAAGTTGCAAGTAACTCCATCATTCAGGTAACTCCATCATTTGTTGAAAGTATGTTCATGGGAAACAATCACAAATTCAAAACTCCATCATGAGACTTAGGACTCACACAGACCAACTCAGTTCGGCTCTATCCCGAGTACCATGGGATTATAATACTGGAAAAGAATTTTAAAGAATTCCTCCAAGCTTCATGAAGGACTAAGTGAGTATCCAGAGACACAGCAAGTACTATATTTTTCTAGGTTTCTCATCTGCAGGAAACAGAAATGAATTTCTTCGGTTTCTACCAAGGGACATGGGAAATTAACCCATACTCAGCCACTAAGTTTTATTATTTTTTATTATTTTCCCTTTTTGGGCTTTGCTCTAGCTTTTGTAATTTTAATGCTATCCAACAAGACACGCCAAGTCCAAGCCCCAAGTTACAAACCAATCCCAAGTTTAAACTCTAAAAGCCATTGACAAGATCTCATCACCTTAAGAATTGTGCTTGACATTCTTTTCTTTTCTTTTCTTTTCTTTTCTTTTCTTTTTTCTTTTCTATATTTTATTTTTATTTTTGGAAAATAATGTCCTGCTTGAGAAGTTCACATAACACCTCCAAAGAAATTTAGAAGAGGTAAAGAAAGATAAGCTAAAATTGAAGGCCTGGTTTCCCAAAGGAAGAGAGTGGGGCAGTAAGCATCTGTTCTAGCTGCCTGTAGTCTAGCAGTGGCCCACTTTACAAAGGGATAAAATGGCGAGGAGGAGTAAGGTTGTCCACTGCAAGGATACAATTATCAAAAATCCTTGCACCTTTGTCATTCTGGAATGATAAGAGTTTGGCCCCATCTCCTTCCCAACACCTTAAAGTCACCAAATGAACAATGTCAAAGGAATTAGTTGAAAAACTATTTTGAGTCCCTAACACCTGGATCTGCTAGTGTGAAAAAATTGATGGTCAATCCTGGGGAAAGATTATTTCCAGGCAATTTTAGGGTAAGAATTCAACTTTTTTTCTTTTAGGTTGGTCAATAGGATGAGTAAAGAGCATCCCCAAAATTTAGGTCACCAGAAAACCCCTAAGTAGGTTCCACCTGCAGAAGTACTTGTACATGTTTCTCTAGTGTGTGTAATCTTCTTCCACATGCATGCACGCATTACACACACACACGCACATATATATATATATATAGAGGGGAAGAGGAGGGGGGGTGGGGTTGGGAATTGCATGTTTATTACTTTATTATATGTATACTAGAAATCCATCTAAAGTTGTATGTGGAGCCTTACTCTCACTAGGACAATCATTTCTACATGTCCCAAAACAGAATGAGAGCACACAAACAGGTTATTAGTTTATAACCTATATTTTTCTTGCTGATTTTTGTTCTAACCACCACCTACATTTAATAAATAGCAAAGCAAAGTAAAATTAAGGGCTTATAAAAAAAACGTTTTGCATATAGGTAAAAAGAAGGACCAGCTGGACCAAGAAACCGAGCAATGCTGTTTTCAGTTTGCTTTTTAATAGCAATGACACGGTGGAAGCAATCACTATCAGATGAACCATCTGTTGTTTCCAGGAAACCGACCAAGCACAGAAGTCATTTATGTGTACAATTTTAAATCTCTATGACTTGTTAAAAGAACAACAGAAGAAGATCAAAGACCCATATCAAACACTTCTGCCATGCCTTCTTCAGTTTGAGATGGACTACAGTGTACATATGCTTGAATATTTCACTAAGTCATGAATGCACAGTACATAATAAAGTTACTAATAATGTTCTATTCCGGTCATTACATGATTCTACATCACCATTTGGAATACAATTAAAAGTCTTTGCCCTCTTGCACTCACGTACATAAGCCTGCTGACTCCAACACAAATGCTTAGAGCATTTCAGACTCACTTTATCCCAGATAGGGGTGCACCTGGGCTGCGCCAGGCCTGACCTGTCATGAGCCAGGTCTGGGCCCCATCATAGGGACCGTTGAGACATGAAGGGCCCAGGCCTTAGTATAAGGTAAAATTTCTGTAGTTCCAAATAATGAAAAAGGACCAATCCGGCCCAACAGACCTTGAATTCCCATCCTGTCATAGGCTGGAACCATGGCCCTTCATAGGGCCCATTGGCCCAACAGGGCCTGCAAACAAGGCTCGTGACCTTAAAAGGCCGGGCCGGGTCGGCTCAGGCCGGACCCACTTACACACCTAATCCCAGACTCAGGACACATAATTCCCAAATCCAAAAATTACTAGGTAAATAACCAGTACTTAATAACAATAAACCACTCCGGCGACATTACAACAAGCAATTACAACTAGCAATTCAGTATAGACATTATATAATACTACAAATTGCAAAAGACCACCTGGTCAAGTTGATAAAAAAATTTACACAATGATTAGCACATACCAAATCTGAACATTTACAAAATGATTAGCACGTACCAAATCTGGACATCTCAACTCCATTGTAAGGAAACCACAACAGACAGCCAAAATCAATCCGATAGAGGAAGCCAAAACAGTGAAAAATATCATCCAAGATAATCAAACAGGAATAAAAGCAGTAAACCTAAGACGCAGCAAATATGACACAAACACCTGCTTTGTTCTTCTAATACAAACTGAAACTGCTCTTGAGCTTTCCGAGTTACTTTCTCTATCTTCAACTGCACCAGAGAGCATCCCAAAGTAAGTTACTAACAAAGAAAAACTTTCAATACAGATCAAATTGGATAGCAGTTAAAACATCAGCATGTATACATAAAATATTTGGAGTCAAATGAAATCAGGTCAGTCACCTGTAAAGCTGTGGCAGTTTCAGATGCAACAGTGGGACACACAGCATGAGTCCTATTTAAAAAATCTACAAAGCGATTATAACTTGCCATCAGGACCTACAAATAAAATTGAAATGTCAAACATACAGATAAGGAAAATGCACCAGAACCAAGTCACAAACTCATTAATGAAATCCAAAGAACAGAACACAATGAAAATTTAAAATTTCAAAACTTGTAAGTTTCCATGAAGTAAAGCATAACAAATAGTCAGCTAATTCATATGAAATTCAAGGTACTTAAAACAATTTTCCCAAGCCTTTTCGTGGTTCTAGTATGATGTTCTTCAAAGGGTGAAGATCAAGGCAGGTGTTAGGTGTTTTAAAATAATTACCAGAAAAAATAAAAAAAAGAGAGATAGATGAAAGTCTTGGACAAACCGATGAAAAAATCTTATCTTAGACCACTAGACATATCAAACCACTGAAAATTGATAATGATAATGTCAGTGTGTAGAGTATCTATCGCCTGTATGCAATGAAAAACGCAGGTGACTAGCAGGCAAAGAGGGGATCTTACACATCTCTAGAGGGTGATGCCATGCTCAAAAATGATGTGGAAAAATTCAGTGGAGGCATACACTAGCATGGCTCTATATGATTCGGGAGCAACCTAGAGAACAGCACTCGATTGATTGCAGATGTAAATGAAAACAAAAAAAAAAAGTTAAAACTGGACAAAACAAGGGCGAGAAATATGTTCCAGTAGAATGATGGTCAGCTGTCTTCACTTCGTCAAATATGAAGATCCATTCCTCATATCAAATGTTGCCCAACAGGTAGAGTTGCCGGAGGTTTACTGACAGAGTAAAGACCATTAGTTAGGCAATTAAGTTATGTGTCGGGAGTATACTTCTGTATACAGCATGTCTTGCATCCAAGGGGCAAAGAGTCTCAAGCATGATCATGGACGTCGCACTTACCAGCTTCTTTCCATTTCCAAGATCGAGCAATTAAGCTCAGTTATTGGGATAGGATCTGCTAGCAGTTGGTTGGAAGACTCAATTGGGGATAGAACTTGAGAAAGCTGGATAGGAACAATAGGATCTTGAAAGGGGTACAGTGCAATTGATGTGAAGTTCTCAAATGAGTTAGGCAAAGGGTGGATGAGGGGCGTATTTCATCTTTGGCAAGACATTTAATATGAGGAAGCTTCTTTTCATTTTCATTTCCCAGTACTCATGGAACTAGCTTATAAGGTGTTTCTGTGAGGGATTGTCATGTAACAAACTGACAATTGTGGGGGTGCCCACGGGGCGGCCAGTTGAGGTGAAGCATTATGTCCAAAAGGATGCTCTAACCTAGAGATATCATGGTACAGCATTTGTCATTTGTTGTATGGTTGCAGCAACCAGAGAATGACTTATCCCTGCAAGATTCATTGGATTCATCCAAACTCCACTGAAAATTCTCTATTTTTCACTGCAAAACTATATCTGTTTTGGCCTTTTAAGCCTGTCAGGTAACAATAATGGGATCAAGAGGGACAAATTTGTGTGTTAAGTTTTCCATGCAAAATTTGGTAGGATAATGAAAAAGGCACACAAGAGTGTGGCAGTAGGTATCCCGCCATCTTAGTCTCTATTTGGGTGCGGTGGGGGGTAATGCATGTGGACAGGCCAGCAGTACCTTCTTTGGATAGCACATCCAAGAGGAGATAGCTTCTCATGTCAGAAGGTTAAGCAAGGAGCAAAGGTGATGGATTTTGTCGAATATTGGGTTATGTCTCCATCGAAAGGTTAGTCTCTTTGCTGGCCCATGTCATGAAGTTCGACAAATCGCCCTTGATGTGCAAGTTGTCGTCCCATTGGCAGCTTAAGTTTCCCAGACCAATCAGATGGGTCAGGGAATAGGCAAAAGATTGCATCTCCATGGCCCACAGGCCCTGAGTCTGTTACGAGGATATGCCACTGAAGTTCTCTCAACAAACCTTCAGTTAATTAATAAGGTCCTTATGACCATGCATGGTATCACAGTTCCAATTTCCAACATATGACTGTATCGAGGAACGGGGTGTCTGGCTATCGGCATACCTTTTTTGGATGCTTGATCTTCCGTCGACAATGTTTTAGAACATGGACTCACCCTTGGACTCTCGTCCCCAGCTAGCATTGACTCACCAAGTCCAAAGTTGATAGAGCAAGTCACAACAGTGTTAAAAAGCTCAAATATAAAATATAATAAAAAGGGAAAACAGAAAAAATAAGAAAAATTGAAAAATTTCAAAAAACCAAGAGAAAATTGGGATGAGAGGCGAAATATTTCAATCAGAAAATGAAATAGAGTACTCGTTTTTTTTTAATGCAACTGTTAGTAGTGTGTTAGCAATGTTTGAAATAAATTATAATTACAAATGGTTTTTCTGATTGTGTACTATTAGGCCATTTATTTTTGGTAAAAGAGTGTCACAATCTCTCCTAGCTGCTAGGAATGAAATCAAATAGCTAGGGGTGTGTCATAAAGCTAGAGAAAATTTTTGGACTTTGAGGGAGGTTAACAGCACATCCCTACTTGTCCAATTTCTCATGTAATGGCCAAGGGTGAATGTGATTTTCTAGTTTTCATCTTAAAAAATAAAAGACTGCTGAGGAAGCTTGAGAATTAGTTTACTGAGGAAAAGTCCATAGATCCGCAGAGATCAACTGTAGCTCGAGAAACAACTAACATGAAAATGGTACCTGAACGAAAGACGATCACGAACAAATACATAGTATGTACCCAAAGTCAACAATGGTGGCCAATCTCTAGATTTACCCAATCAAAAGGTTACTTGTACCCCTTTTAGGTCTTGCAGCTCTAAATCCTCATAGAACCCTCACCCAAGCTTTTATAACCATTAGAAATCCATTTTGAAGATCCGGCCCTAGCAAACTTTTCCAAGTAAAAACCGGACTCTGAAAATCATCCATTCTGAAGTTTTTAGCCAATTAGTTCTTCCAAATCGTCAAAATTGAGAGGGGTCGAAAAAATGGTATTAGCACCTCTCCTGCAATCCAAAACCACAAATAAGTTGGAATATTGAAAGTTCTAGAGGAAAAACTGATAAACAAAAACAATCATACTTCACAAATCCCTGACAACATGGGTGAGACACAGGACAGTAAAGTTAGATTGAAAAAATCACCAAGCTTGTCCAGGACTTGGGCATTTAATTACAAAAGACCCCAAAGAATGTTGGCGCATACATCCTAAGGACCTGCACCATCCAAGTGAACTCAGGCGAGTCCCAAGTTACATCAGCGAGTTACTAAACATCATTAACAGGAACCATTTGAAGTTCTTTCCTAGAAGCCTTCGATCTTCCATGGGTGAGGCAACATCTCCTAGCTTGCTCTCATGTCGATGACCACCATCTCCTTTTCATTGGAAGGGATGGATCATCTAGAGTCAGTGCCCTCTAATCATCCTTCATGACATCCTAAAAGAAAAGACTAGCAAAGTCTTGCAAAGTCATACTCTACTTCAAGGCAGTGTAAGAGACAGAGTTCGAGAAGGGGGAAAACCATGGGTCCTCATTCTCCAAGCGATGACTTAAAAAGCAGACCGCCCAACGCTTAGGCAGTCCAGAAGGCCTGGGCGATGGCCTCCAAATTAAGCGGGATATCCCTGGGTGCCCACCTACGCACTCGGGAACCTGTCAAGGAGGGCTGCCACCCAGGGGCAGAAATGCCCCTCGTTGAGGACATTGTTTGCTCGTTTTTTAATACTAAAGAGGCAAAATTGTGGGTTTTAGCTCATTTGAAACCGAAAACGGTAATTTTTATATGATCGAAGGGTTTCTCAAAGTTACGAGAAATTGATCTAAAAATCACCTATTGATATTAGATTTAGTTTTGGATGTTTTATAAATATATTAGAAGGTTTTTTAGAATATTTTGAGATTTTAGAAACATCTTAGAGGTAGAAGTTTGGAGATCGAGCAATCAAAGTTAGTGATTTTTGTTTTGATTGCTTGTCTTCTTTTGAGATGTCTTTTTCAAGATCTAATCGAAATGGTGATCCGGGTTGGAAATATGGCTACAACCTGAATCTTTTAAATAAAAATTGCATAAGACGCAAGTTTTGTGAAAAGGATACAAAAAGGGGCATAAACCTGTTCAAAAAACATCTTGCCAGTATTAGGGGGATGTTGTCCCACGTAAAAAATCTCCTGATGTTATTAAAGAGGAGATAAAAATATTTTCGAGTCTTGTAAAAATAAAAAAAGATGGGAGACATGCATCCATAATAGAGATAAGGTTTGGGATTCGAGTCAGTTATGATGACGATGACATTGATGAGGACGGGGAGGGATTTCAAAAGGTAGAAGTAGAACCACAACAATCCAAGATTAGGGGGAAGGGAAAGGGAGTTGTAATGGCTTCTAGGAGTTCAAGGCCTAAGAGGCCTTGGGTTAGAGGCCCTATGGATTGTTTTTTGCCCCAGTCTGACCCTGAGGTTGTAGGAGAGAAAACAAAGAAGCAAACCACCATTAAAAATAAAATCAAGAAGGTAGAGAGAGATAGAGCTGCACAATATATTTCTCCATGGTTTTATGAGGCGAGCATTCCTTTCAATACCGCTTGCCTAAGCAACTTCTACGCCTTGGTAGAGGCAATTGGCCAATTTGGGCCTTAGATGAAACCCCCGACCCTATATGAGCTTTCAAAGCCTCTTTTGAAAAAACGGTGAGTCTCACAAGGGATGCTATTGAAGTTCAAAAGGATGCATGGGTTCAATATGGAGTTTCCATTATGACTAATGCTTGGAGTGATAGGAAGAGAACAAGTCCGATGAATTTACTAGTAAATTGTCCTTTAAGGACTTTTTTTTTAGGTCTATTGATGCTTCTGATCATAGTCATGCCCATTATATATTCCAAATTAAGGAGAAGGGAATCAAGGAGGTTGGGAGCAGCATGTTATACAGGTTGTCATAGATAATGTTGCTCCTAATTTGTTGAGCATCTCACACCCTGGAATCGTTTGGACACCACGTGTATAGACATCATGCTGAAGGCTATTGGTGGTTTGAGCGAAATTTTAGGTGCAATGAAGAAGGCAAAGTCAGTTACGAATT